ACAGCAAGGGACATCAACCACTAATTAACTGGAGCTGCATGAGAAGATGACACACACTGCAGAGCTCAGGATACCATGAGGAAGGATGGTGGATGTTGGTCTTATATCGAGAGGCACAAAAGAGGAATGTGAGAGGAACAAAAGAAACATCAAAGCTGCCACCATGCTACGATGTATTTGAAGCAGGAATGCACTGAGAATGGAATAATGATCATAAGGAAAGGCAGGAGCTGAGCACTGGAAGTCTGAAGGATCAGAAACACAATTTCATACAAATGGGATACAAGACAAGTAAAATCTGGCAGGTCGTCATGTTACGTGTGGGCAAGAGGAACACTGCAGGTGGAAATACATGAACTGAACATCAGAAAGGGATATCAGTTAAAAAAGGAGACAAACTCTGTTGTGTGTTGTGGCTATTTTGCTCTGTTCCAGCAGTCCTCAATGGTCATGTCTCCTCCTTCTCCTCCAAAATGTAACCTGGCCACTTCACACACCTCTGCAGGCTTCCTGGTCGAGTTCGCAGAACAAGTGACAAACAGGAACCATAAGCCTGGGTTAATTTTTTCACCGGGCCACTAATAAGAGTCACTTCCCTCCCAGTTTCTTTGTGTTCATCTTCTTAAATGTGTTACAAGAACAAAATATTGTCCAGAAAATTATTTTATTATGTTGCTATGGTGATGCAAATGATATTGAAATCTTATTATAGTCAAGCTGAAGTACGACTCTAAATGTCTTGCACAGAAGAACAACATTGGGTAAAGCTTTGCCAAACTCTTTGAAAATGGTTTTGAAAATATTATACTGCAGCTAAAAGAGCTAAGTTCTATTAGACTGGACAAAATTAGGCTACTCAGAAGTTCAGCAGTAACCTGTACACATTTAGTGAGTGGTCTGGCTCTAGCCACGCAGCTGCTCTGGGGTTCTACGTTGCCAGAGGTGCACCAGAAATTAACTTTATGGTCTGAAGAGACCATGTACATATGTCATAGCTAGTTTCATTTGGGAAGCCAAAGAGTTAGTTAACGTTTTCTGTTTCTGCAGTCTATTAGATATCTTACGTCTCTAACTCAAACACATGCTAAATTCCCAGGGCTGACATAAAAATCACCTTTTCTTAAACGTTGGGGAAAATACTATAACCCTTAACAGCAAATGAAACAGTGGTGATCCTTGAAATAAGTCATGGGAAATATCTGGATTGTAGCATGTTTCCAAATAATTTATACAACACTGAAAGAGTGTTTCCCAAACTTAGATCCTTGCCCTATTGCTGTCCCTCTTACCATTCCCTTCAGCAGTTCCATCTGTTGCTTCAGCCCAGCCCTATTTTGAATTTTTCCCTCTCTGCAACTTTGATTCATCAGCTTCACTTCCCAGATGATGGTTGCTGGTTCTTTTTCTTGCTGTTGTTGCTGCTTCCAGATATGCCCTCAAATCGTTGATAATGAGCCTGGTAGTTTATTAGCCTGTGCTCAACTTTGTGCCTCACCAGTTTTGTGCCTCAGAAGAGTTGATTTCTAATAGACCTGAAATCCAGCCAAAACACCAGTTTTAAATCTGAAGGCACATCCAATTAACAGTTGTCCCCCAAACCACAGCTTTCCTAATTGTTTGCAAGAGTATGAAGCATGGAGGACTGGCATGGATGCCAGCAGCCCTGTCAAAGTGAGACTGCAGGCATTATGGGGTGGGAGGCACCACGTGGAGTAGCACCGATACCGTTGCAGGAAAGTGATATATGTCATAAATTACAGAGGTCACACTGCGGTGAGGTTTTCAGCACTGTACAATCATAGAGAGAGAGAAACAGCCCTGTCAGCTTGTCTGTCCTTCCAGGATAGCTGGATGCATAATACACTCAGGCTTTTGGGAGCTTGTGAATGCAAGATGCAGTGTTTTCACAGGAGCTGGATCCAGACCCTGGAAGAACTTTTCACAAGAGAAAAGAATGTTGTTTAGGTTTGCCACTTTGCTAAATATAGGACTTCTATCTTTGCATGAGTCTCTCTTTGGAAACGTACTCCTTTCTCCTTTCATTTGCATGCACACCCAGGCACACAAACAAAAACAAATGAGTTGTAAACTAATCAAACTTGTTTTCTTCAGGTTGGAAAGGAAAAGAGATAATATTTTGATTTCAGTTTCCAAATCTTTGGGAGGTGTTCAGATATTATCACAGTGCTTTAAGCTCCTCATTGTAAAGGTGTCAAGCGGCTCCCAAGCAATTAAAAAGCAACAAACAATTACAAAAATATGTTGTCCCATCACTTCTCTCTCCCATTTCTGCTTATGAACACAAATAATAAGCAAAATTCTTAACTGAGTGGGATAAAACTGTGAGGTTCAGACTGTGTGGAGAGCTATAAATAGTCTAAATTTATTTTTGGTTGTGGACCTCTAAGACCGAGGTCACTTTTTGTCACTTTAGGAATGAGGTATTTTGTCCAAATGTGGTCTCAGTAACTCCCTAGTCACAAACTTCCTCTGCTTGGGTAGTTTCACTGTTTCTGGAGAAAGTGACAAGACATAATCAGAGGAAAACTGATAGAGGCTAAATTACTTAGGCCAATTCCATGGAACTTCACCAAACAGCAACTTGAAGAGGGGTGTTGAAATCCTGGTCCTAATTGAAGTTAGCATAAAAAATGCCAGCACTGTCAAAATTATGTATATCTCTGATTTACAGTATAATTTGAAAACAATACAAAAAGTTGGTGCATTCACACAGATACATGTTGCTGTATCAATAGCCTGTAACAGTCTCAGTGTTTTTTATGGTGCAAAACTTTATGCTAAAGCTGTCTTAGATATCTGAGTTCGCTACTGTTACATTTATTTATACTGGGGGTTCCAGAAGCAGTTCAGAAGAAGCCAACAAATATAAACATGAAAGTATGTTCAAAGAGCCTGGCATTATGAAGGAAGGAAGTTCTACATGTGCAAGCACTCCTTCCACACACACAGCAATGGCATTATTTGGGTTCACCTTTCACCAGCTGTCCTTCCTCTGACACTGGTTTTCCTTGCGCATTATTAAACTGATAATCCTACTTATATATCCTGTCAAGCAGACACAGACGAGTAGCATTTGTATACTGCTTCTGCTTAAGTTGCCCAATAAATATTTCAGTCACTTCACGGAGGAGGGACAGTTCCAAGACGACTCATCAGGAGGCACTTCTAGGAGAGGAAGAACATTTGTCTGCTGGAATCCTGCGGTTTAGTAGAGCCCTGTTGTAACGAGTAATGAAGATTGCAGAGAGTTGGGAGGCTGTGACTGCACTTTGGCAGTGCACGGCAGGAGGGACACACTCCAGTAGCTGTTCTGCATTGTCTGCCACTGCATCCGGGTCACATAGGTACCAATCTTACAGAAGGCGCCCTAAGAACACTTGGCCAACTTTTATGAACAGAAACAATAAGCAACTTAGCACCAAATCCCAACAAGCCAAGGACAGAGCCGCTAAGCCCAAGCGCCCTGAGAAGCATTAGCTGAGCAGCAAAACAGTGGGAGGCTGATCATGAAAGGCCTGAACACCAGTTTTTTTTATGCTTGCCGTGATGTACATTCAGGACGGTTTTTGCAAGCTTCAAACAACAGTAACTGTGAGGATAAGCACAGTTGCAGAAACCGCACAGCTCCAAGCTCCTCACTGCCAGCCAACTGAATTTCTTCCTCTACACTTTCATTGTCTAAGGTGACACCAGAGCAGTTTCCGCAACACCTTCCGAGCTGAGGAATATGAAAACGTCCTCCTTCGGGGCGGAGGAGACCCCCCCCCACCTGCTCCACGAGGTTTTACACCCGCTTTAACCCACCCTGCGGGACGCAAGCAGGGGCCCAACAACGCTCCCAGCGCTGCCTGCCCGGGGCTGTGCCCGTCCCCCTGCCCTGAGCCCCCTCCCCAG